TTTTAGTTCCTTAAAGTTTTAATTTTAGTATTTCTGATAGGTATCTCAGCGGCTGTAGATTTGGCGAAAACTATATTAGGCGTATACGAAACTTTAGGCACAAAATTAACTAGAAGCTGTGTTGGTAATTCTACTATTTCCCAGGATGGCAATGTTAGGAAGTGGTCAAGACTGCTAAGCCAGTTGACAGTTCAAGATTGTCAGTAGGCACGCTGAGCGCTCGTAGCCGTTTTGCGGCGATACCCGGCTCCTACTTTTGTATCAAAGCCAGCCCTCTCTTGGCAAGTACGCAACACGTTGGGGCGACTGTATAGGTCAAACAAATAGTTGCTTAATAGTGCATAAATTTGGTAAACATCCCTATTAGAATTAATTGCCATTTCTGCTAAAATATATTTCTAAGAGTCGATGAACGTAGTTCAGACACTTATATAGGTCGCGATGATTTTTTAAGTTTTTTTCAGGAAAAGGGTTAAGTTTTGTTCATGCTCAAATTTAATTTTTCGCGATTTGGTTTTTGATTTCTTTGTAAGTTCAGATTGTTTCCTTTGTTCAAAGGACGGCAAACTCTTTTATCGAAAATTGGAATTTAATTTTCAGTTTTTCCAACGAAATAGAAATTTAACTTATTCATCAATTTTCCTCATGTTCAGCAAAAGGTACCCATGATAAACTGTTCTAGAAATACAAAGAGTTTAAAGGGCATTATTTTGAAATTTGAAAGTTGAGATTTTTTCAAAAATTATGTTAGCGTTCATTGATTCTTTTGAAGCTGTCTGTTGGCTATCTTTTCTCCAGGAAAAGTCTCCACATTTTTTCAAGCTCAAATATATATTTTTTTTCGGTTTGGCTTGTTTTTGAAGTTCAGCTTATTTCTTTTACTAAAAGGAAAACGATCTTCTTTATCAAACAGCAAAAGTGTTAAAATCACAAAAAACATAATCAACTTTTAGTTTCCTAAGTGTATTCTAATTTTCAGTTTGCCCAGCGGAATGAAAAATTTACGATATGATCCAGTTTTCTAAAGTTGGGCTAATTTTTATCAAAAAATCAAAATTATATGTTTTCTTTGAAATTCGTTGAGATTTTAATCCTCATAAATTTATTTCAAATTTTTCAAAGTGAAGTTTTTTTTCAAAATCAAGCCAGTTTTCCTTTTCCGTACTTTGTTCACAGACAGCTGGAAAAGTTCATTGAATCTTTTCCAGCTGTCTGTCGGCCGGCTATGTTACGTTTTCCAAATTTAACAGTTTTGCTTTCGCATAATCTGATTTTGACCAAGTATAGCCGCCTTTTTTCTAAGAAAGAACATACTTTTTCGTAAAAAGAACAGCTACAACTTATAAAAAAATTGCTTCCAGTGTATTTTTTCATTTTGCTAAATTAGATAAATTTTTGGAAACTCACTTTTCTCTTCTTAGGAAAAACTTTTAAAATTTTCGTTTTGAATAAAACTAAAGTTGCGTTTGCTAAAAGTAATTGAACTCCATTTGGTGTCATTAAAATTAATCACAGATCATCATAAAATCAAATATCTGATTGCTCAAATCGAAGAATGAGCTTGAAAAATTGTCACAATTCATTCTGAAAAAACTTCACACGATTCAATTAGGAAACAATAATGGGAAGTGCCCTTGAATTTTAATTTTAAAGATCTTTTCATCAGTTTTCAATTGCTAAATTTGAATTTTCACTGAAATACCTGCAAAAAACGTAACAGTTCATTTCATATATTATTTTATCAAACTTGAAATTGTTTCATCAATCGCGCACATTCACCAATCAATTACAGAAAAACGTTTAAAAAAGAGTAATTTGAGATTGATATCAATTTAGGTTAAGTTTTAGAAAATATCTTCAGAAGAAAATTATACCAAAAAAATTAATAAATGGGTCCGCGCAGAGAGAGAGAGAGAGAGAGAGAGAGAGAGAGAGAGAGAGAGAGCAATAAAAACCAACTCCTGATTTTTAATAATAAAATAATAAAATTATCTTTAAAACCAGCAAACAACTTCATTTTACAAGCAATTGTTTTTTATCAATCGGAACCGTCCTTATATGTGTTCAAATCTCTCACTGTTTTCACTTTTCATTAATTAAAACAATCAAAGATCTAATTGAAATAATAAGAACACAGTTATGTGTATAATGATGAAAAAGCAAAAAAAAAACGGAATAAAGAAAAAACTTATTGCTTTTACAGCCCAGCACCCAGCACTAGTTTATGAAGCAAATCTCAATGGTCTTATGAAGTTTGATTTTGAGATCAACTGTTTTCTAACTGATTTCGACTGAGCGACCTTTGTGTGCTGATTTTCCTGAGATGATTTCTGACAAAATTTAGCCCGGCGCTTTGAGTTTTTAAATTGGAAAGCATTTTACGCTTTTCTTTTAAAATTTACCGATCAATTTTGTTTTCAAAATGTATCAATTTTATTAGTTAGGATTTTGTCAAAAAATCTATTTTTCCAAAAATTGATGAGCTCTAGCGTGCTGTTATATTTGCTTTCCGTGTAGCTCAGAAAATAAAAAAAACCAAATGAGGTTGATAAACTATTTATAGTTTTCGGGTACTATCTGGACTAAAGGAGAAAAAAAGAACTAACGCAACGTTTATTATAATTGAGCAACCACTAGATTTCAAGAAAATAATATTATAGAAGTAAATAGAAATTAAGGTTTTAAACGATCATGTGATTGGAACGTACGATAGATTGTTGCAAATTAAAAATAATTTTCTTTTGATTAAGCGCTCAGAATTGATTTGAAGCAAGTTTCACATGAAAAATTATATATCTTGTTTTTTGACGTGTGATGCTTGTTTTTTGAGACCCATTAGCGAAGTCATCAATTCATTTCCCATACTAAGTAAGCATGCTGACTAAAAGAAATTCAGTTGCTCGCCACCAATTTTTTTTAGTGCGACAGTTTTGCTTTGTGCTCATTTATTTCCGAATATTTTTCATCAATTCAACAATGCTATGCAGTCAAGACGAGGTCAACAACCTTCAATACATTCTATTTCTGATTGCTCTAGGTTTCACAAATGCTTGGGCGTGGTTTAAGTCACTCCTTTATTTTTCCGACTTTCGAAGAAAGCGACGGAATATCTGCGCTCGAGATGGTTTTTTCTCCAAACTAATTTCAACTTTTTATTTAGCCATTTTTAACGACAATTTTTCATATCATGCGAAAATTATTTTTTTCTTGAGCTCAAACTCAAAAGATGTTTAGATCAATTTTTGTAAAGTTGTGTTGATTTTGTAGTGGGCAACCTTTTGCAAATGCAAACTAAATTTTTTATGCGGTTAGAAGTGAGCCAATTTGAATCAAGTTAAGTGCGATTTATTTCGTGCTAATAACGCATATGCGGAGTTTTATACCCTCTTAGAAGTTTTACCATAGAGAACTAAGGCTATTCTGTAATCTACTTGGTCATTTGCTATATTCATATGCTATTCTATTCTAGTTCGAATATTAAAGCTGCGCTACCCAATATTACTGCCATGATTTAATCGATTAACCAAACTGACATGTTAAGTTGAACATCAACATTAACTGCTCGTATATCATGGCAATAAACCCTGAATGTTCCGACTGTCCCCTAAATCATGTCGGATAGTTTATGAGAAAAGAAAATGTCGAAAACCTATATACATTTTGGACAATATCAATGTGTAAAATTTTGAGTCATACGAACTTAATACGACCAATGAGCTGCCTCAATTCAATTTGGAAGCATTTTTTTGTGCGGGATAATTCGCGTTACAATTTTCTCAGCATTATGAATAAACTTTTCAAAGCGCGCATAATTTAGTCCATAACATGGATAATTTGGCAATTTTCAAACCCCCAGAACTTTACAAAAAATAATTGGATGAAAAATATCTTTTTAGATTTGATTTCAGGAAGTCCATATCTTCATCGGGGTATTAAAAATGTTTGTTGAAAACTATTATTTCGATCGATGAAAATTGACTGAATAAAAAAAACCACCCCGAGCATAAATATTCCGTTCTCTTCAAAAGTCGGAACAATAAGCGGTTCAAGGAATCAGTTCAAGGAACAACAATGATTTTTTATTCAAATTTGGTTCATGCTCTTAAAAAGAACACACCTGAAATACATACAATTTTTTTTTGATGTTAATAACTTTTTTGTAAATATGTGATCCTAAAAACAGTCAAAATTATGAATTTCTATCTAGCATTTCTGTCAAGCCTTACTTGGATGATCGCGGAAAAAATTCTGAAACGGGTTCTTCAAAGTCACAGTTTAAAGTATTGCTATCTGGTCAACAAACCAATGAGACCTGAAATTAGCAAGATTTTTTTTCTTAGTTTGAAGTTTTAAAATTTCTGCACACACATTCTTGTACCAATACCTGCTACAGTCACAAATACACCAAAATTTTGGGAATTTTGGACACCTATGACCAGGGGCGGATCTAGGATTTTCTTGAGTGGGGGACGGATTTTCGAAAAAAAATTCGAAAATTTTGACGACCTTTTTTTTTAGTTCGACCAAATTGATTTTTCGAGCTCTCCCAAAGCACTGTTTTGCCCCTATTTTTGCAAAATTTTGTGCACCGCAGGCGAATTTTTGAAAAAACAGTCAAAAAAGCTGTTTTTGGGCACTTTTTGAAAAATTTTGACAAAAAAATCGCGATTTTTTTGGCGCGCGCTCCCCCTCAAAGTTAGTATATATTGGCGCCTAAGGCGCCTTTAGAAAAATTTTAGGGTCGGTCAGCCAAAAATGGATTTCTGAAAAAGTTTCAAAGGGGGACCCTTTGGGTCGGCAGCGGGTCGAATCCCTGAGGAAGGAGCGTTCGCCCCTCCCCCCCCCCCCCCTAAATCCGCCCCTGCCTATGACACTTTGGAAAAAACAGCGTTCCGAAAAATCCTGCTAATACAATTACAACTGCTATGATTAACGGCCTCGGCACGTCAAATATTGTTGTTTCCAACAGTTTAGAACACTAGAACTATTCCGTCGATTTCTATGATAGACAAGCCTGAGTAAGTTGACAGAACCGATAAGATTGGTCGGAACAAGTTT